CTTAGCTCTATACCACTAATTATATTACTATTAACATTGATCAAGTGTTTTAGAATCTAATTGGCTACAATCAGAAAGTATCTGTAATCATTTTGACATTGAAACTATCATATATTTTGATATAGATAAAACAATAGGTGATTTGTGACATCGATGACAATCTAATTATTTACAAACGTACATTGTTTTATATTTGTGAGAAAACGTGTAGCGTGTGAGCGAATTGTCCAGAGAAAGTAAATGAACCGACGACGTCGACGACCCAAATAGGTGCAATGGCTTCAATAAACTGCAAAATGACAATGAAATTAAATATGTTTTTTGTTGTATGTATGTATATTCGGAAATATGAAAAATAGTTAATGTTAAAATTGTTCAGTGGAGGTTAAACCTTTTAAAAACTCAGACATGTTATTGGAAGCTATAATTTCAAGTAATTAATTTTCATTGAATGTTGGCTGAACGTTTGTTGGAGTCATTGATTTCACAAACAATTTAACCAATAAACGCACAAACAGGGAAATTAAGACTAATAACTGTAATAATAGTGTCCCAAAAGTGGTTTATGGACATAGGAGTACATTTCTGTATCATAATTCATCCGTGGCCCATCATCCTGTCTAGCAGTAATAGCTAGCTCTCTATGATCTCTTAGCATGAATAGGTTCGTAACAAATATCCATATCTTATATTATTTTTCTTATATTATTTTTAAGCAAAAAATATCATTATATTAATCAACGTCTATTGTTTACTGCAACAGTGGTAATACTTATAACATAATATCCTTATTATAACCGTTTACCTATAATGCATCTGTAATAAGATGGCGCATTATTGATATAGGGCGTCTTTAATATTAATGGTGAGTCACGAAGTCATTTGCAGCTACTCGAGTAGTTCACGTCTCCGAACACTGGCGCCGTCGCGCAGGCAATGAATTGCCATTATGCTTCGAGTTCCTCACTGATACTGCACCATTTTTAACATCTGAGGTCAATCTGTAGTGCTGCATTGATGCAGAGTTGAGAAACTGATAACCTCGTGTTGCAAGAATGCAAGTGTTCGTGTATTTACTCCCCATTGATGTAATAAAAACAGAAGTTATTTTGGAAATATTATATATTCTATTCTTCCGTTAATTCGTTATTGTCTCAGGTTGGAGAGTAGTTGCTGCTGACATTTTTTTTGGTACAATCAGTTAGATATTTATATGACGGTGATACTGCTTCTAAATAAAGTCATTGTTTAATAGCAGTTCGTTATTTCTAATTGTTTTTGTTGCTGGGCATTTACCGAAATGACAATGTGGCATTGTCACAATCGAAGTCAATCAATCGGATAATGACTACCGCTATTAACTGACGAATGAATGAGGGCTCTCTCCTAATATCGTGTTTTACTTGTTACTATTTTAGATAGTTAAGAATTCTATGTTTAGTATTATTCTTTAACTTCAAAAAAATGTTTGTTCATGTTAATCTACAATTATAATTTAAAACAAAGATATGTTAATAAATCGTAATCTAGCAAGATTATGATTAATATTATAGTTAATAAATGATAGTGATCTTGCACATAGTTAACTTTTCAAAAATGTACCTGTGTAGCTAGTAGATAACTAACGCTTGTTTAAACAGTAAAATGTTACTCATTACTTTGTCAACTTTTATAACCATGTAGTCATACCTAATGATTGCGTATTATGCTAAAAACAATTGGTAAAACTTCATTCTGTTGAGGAAATCGCCTGAGTACGTTGCTTTAATAATATTATTATGTACGGTACCGCCTAACTAATTTTATCACTTTATAATAATGGTATTATAATTATTAACCAATGTATTCTACTACAACTACTAGTTGAAAGTGGTTTGTTATAAACTATGGTTAAATGGAGTGCACAATGTTTAATTCTCTAAGGAATAGACTTAGTTTGAGGAAGAAACACCGTAGATTTAGCAGTATAGAAACGGATGTGAGTATCTTTTGAAATTCATGAGTATCGACTAAACGTCCAATCTTATATATTAGTTATACAATGTAGATTACTTTTTGTTTTCGAATAAGTTGCGCTTTACTGTCGATTGTTTATACCTGTTTCACTGAAAACAAATGCCTTTCCGATGTTGAATTTGATTATTTACGTTACAGTGTCCGTACTCTGGTAAACATGTACCGGACAGTGCTCCCTCCTACTGCACAATCAGTAAGCAATTGAACCTTGTTATTCATCGACTAGTTTGCTGGAAAAGCATCTATTTATGTTAATATTTAATAAGAAAACACAACTTTTCTAAATTCATAATTTTGTTGTATTGTGAGTCAGTTTTGTCGAGTTAAAAATATTAGTCGTTACCTTACCTCGTCAGTTAGGAATGAAGTACGATGTTATTTACTTGTTGCCTTATGAAATGTCGAAATGTACATTATGTATTATGCGTCGAATATCAATGTTACGGCTGTTGCGTGATTGCAGTTGTCATTTGAATGAAACTTTTCTTAATTCACCAAATTGGCTTACTCTCAGAAAAGAAATGGTCTGTATTTTAGATTTAATTCCCGAGTAAATCTAATTGTCCCTTTATAAGTCTGGATTTTTATATATATATAACTGGTCATTCTTTGCTATCCAGGTTTCAATCCGACAATTCCTTGTATTTAACTCGAGCAGGTAGTAAATAGTTCTCAGTATTCTGAAGTCATTATATTTAGTAATAACTGTATTTAATTAAAATACAATAAACATTTGCAAAGGATGTGTCAACTTATATTTTCATTATTATTGACTATTTTAGGCATTACATTAAATCTTAACTATTGTTGGTATTGGTCAGTAGGAGATATTAATAGATTGAAGTCGTCGCAGGCGTATAAGGTCGTTACACTTAATAAATCGGTATGTGTATATGTATATATACATATCAGCGTAGTGTAACGTAATTATAGTAAAGTGTGAGAATTAATTTTCGAATTCTTATAAAACAAATAGAGATGTACCTAGGTTGTTTTTTTTTCATAAATATATATCTAGTATTGTATGTAAGAAGATAATTGCATAGAAGCTATTGCACATAATGTAGCAGGTTAGGAAAAAGAAACCGAGTCTTCTTCCTAGTCTGCTACTTTATGTGAAAATAAATATACTCTTGTTTATATATTTTTTAGCATTGAAAACAAGTGGTATTTTTTAATCTATAACCTCAGTTCTAAGATCTAAGATTCTAAGATGATTCTAAGTCAATTATTTTTTAAGTCGTCAATATTTATTTCTACTGTCTCTATATGTTGCTTGACATATGAATAGATTGAAGAAATCTGAGCAGGAAATATTCATCACGACAATTGTCAATGCACGTATCTATCATTCACTTAGAATATGGGGCGGGCTTGTATGCAATGTTTTTCGTAATCTTGTCTGTTGGTAGGTACGCACTCTTCATTGATTGAGAATGTATTTGTAGCTCTTTCCATTGATTTCGATTGTTTATGTTTAATGAAATTTACATGTTACTGGTGTAAAGTAATGTTGGCCAAGTTCCGCGTGATTCACCGCTTTCATTCTCGCAACTTCTCACCTACCTACTTATAATTTACTCACACGAAGCGTATCAACAGATCTATGTTGCAAGGAATTGTATTTCATACGTTTGAATAAATTTTATATAGTCATTAGAACTAAATAGCTGTACTTATTATACAGATTCTGTACCTAGGGCCATTTGTATTTATAATATAAACTTTGACATAAAAATCCTAACCAGTCATGAGAAAATATATGTTTCTAAAATTTGGAGAGTTTTTAACTTATGGCGTGATGTAATGCCGTTGAATCAAAATCACGGTCATCACGGTTGTCACGGGATCCACAGATACTTACTAGATATATACATTACAATAATAAAATAAACTGTGGACTCCGGACTAACCATTGTTTTTTGTTTGTTTGTCAACAGTTTATCACCCTTTTTCCACCACCGTACCTACCTCTATACATATACTTGAAAGTTAATAGTTTTAAAATTAAATTTGTTTGAGAAGAACAAAGCCGAATATTGTCAAATTGATGACTAATTTTATTATTAGTCATGGCTATAGAAGTCACGTGTATGATTACACTTATCTACTTATAAATGGAACACATCTTTTTTATTTTATAAATATTACTAGGTACTTAGTCAAGACTCTACATTTCTTAAACTTCACAGTGATTGTTTATTTGATACTTTTAATTACTTTAGTTGTCTTGTTACTGACACCTGGATATTGTGGTTATGTAGTTATTAAAATAAAAGCTGAAGTTAATCATTGTGGCGTCAGTCATATCAAAAGTAAAAAAAAATACATAAGGATACTATAGAAACAAGTACCACTCGGTTTAGTAACTAGTACCAATGTACGAGTACTTGTCAGTATTTTTAATATTGGATAACGCTGGCGTGGCCCCAGTGGATGATACAATGATTATGAGTTCAGGTCAGTTAGCCCATTATGACAAATTCACCAGGAATTTATCACGATGGTTTCCAGGGGGAACCTACTATTCAGTATTAATACAGTTATTCAGTAATAATACTAGTTAGAAACTCGAGATATGTTACCTTGGTAACGATGAGTCATCTGTAGTCAGTCAGCTAGATCGATTGATACAAAACATGCGTAGCTTTATTACGGTTATCACAGACACGACAAAAAATCTTCGCGGCGGGAGACTTACTTAGTCTCTTGCTTGTCTCGTCCTATCGACAACTATAGTAACGTATAGTTATTGAGTATACCTATATATGTAATATGTATACTCGTACAATATTCTGGTTGTTCACTGTTGTCGTTCCTGTCTAGAAACCTTTGCCAATTAATTATAATGACAGATTATAACAATCAAGATTATTTCAAACATTTATTTTACGATATTGTTAAAACTTATTGGTGTCATGTATTGATTTTTTAAAGCCTAATTTGTAGTATGAGATATTTAAAGTGTTATTTATTATTTCCAGTTACAAAGTAAACGAGAGCTGTTCTTCAAGTCGGACTCAGTGAGTGGTGGTGTAAGCGCAACGGGCCCGCCTAGCGGGGCGCCGCCTGCGCCTCCAATTGCGCCCTCTGCACTCAAGGATGCTCTGGCGAAACGCTCTGCTACGCTCCCGGACTCGCACGACAGTAACCATCACGAAGCTAACGGCACCGCGCTCCCGACCAAACTCAGCAATAGTGTGTCAGTTGACACCCCAAAACTTTCAAGTGCGGCAGCCCTGCCTACTGCAGCGCCCCCAGTGCCAACTACAGCTCCGCCTTCGGTACCTACACCTCTTAGGAGTACAGAAAACATTATGAAGGTAGCTATTTATTTCACTTGCACTTGCTTATTTCTATGGTAGTGTAGTTTGTGGACACGAATAAAGATAATGCCGAATATTATCTTTATTCATGTTCACAAACATTCATTACGCGGAGCTAGTAAATTCTACATGTATAAATGAATTGACTGACTGAATGTAGATAAATTAATCTAATACATCTGCATATATTTAGTCATACGTCAATTGCAGATCAATCAATACATATAATGAAAACTTTGGAAAATAATATTATAAAATATTCATATTAAAATATTGACAGATGCCGATAGGTACAAAATATGCTTTGTAACCGAGTAGGACAAAGTGTCTCATCAGACTCACAACAATAATGAAGAGATTTCTCATTCTCATAACAGTAATGAATTCGGAACAATGACTTAGTGAAAACAAAACCAAAACTTCATTTCACTGGTTGGGGCACTTTGTCAAACTTTTAATATATTTTAAAGATGCATCAAAGATGCATATTTTATTTCTTTTTTCGATTTGAGGCCAAGTTTCTAAGTTTTTAAACTGTTATATTGTATATAGAGATTTTTCCATATATTGACTGAAATTTTATATATTTATAGAAACCAGAGCACCCACCTGTTGCGCCGAAACCGGAATTACCTAAGTTAGAAAAGCCAAAAACCAAAGAATTAGACGGATACGTTGGATTTGCAAATCTCCCAAATCAGGTGTATAGGAAGGCAGTGAAAAAAGGATTCGAATTTACGTTAATGGTAGTAGGTAAGTTCGAAGTAGCTGTTAATTTACCAAGAGCCATTGTTATTCTATTGAAATATATAGATAAATATTTTGTATTTATTTCCATCGACGTAGTGTTTGTATCTGTAATTAACATGTAAATTATTTACCATCCTGCAATGCGGAATAATCCTCTTTGACCATCTGCGTGGAATAAGAAGTATGATGTAGGTACTGTTATACACCTTTACAGTTTAGTAATTATATTCTATTACTGTAACAGCAGTATCTAATGCGCCTTCAGTTTTACTATTTTAGAAGTATAATAAAATCAATGTAGTTTGTAGTGTTTTATCTTAAATTGAATCTTTCGGTGGTCAGTTTGGGTAATATGCAAATACCACCAGTATATGAACTATGAGGGAGGTATTGATGAACACAACAAATACAAGCTGAAATTATAACCCTCCATAGTCAGGTAACAAAGGTCAAACTGATAATAAGATAATTTATATATTGCGCATTATGTTATTACAGGTGAAACAGGGCTCGGCAAGTCGACGTTAATAAACTCTTTGTTCCTAACTGACGTGTATGATAAAGATAAACACCCAGGACCATCGCTACGGGTGAAGAAGACTGTAGGCGTGGAAACAAGTGTTGTGTTACTCAAGGAGAATGGTGTCAACCTCACGTTAACCATCGTAGACACACCCGGATTTGGTGACGCCGTCGATAATAGTAATTGGTAAGTTCATTTTCTTATAAAATCATACTGTTGTGTAGTTGTCAAAACAATTTCTTGGATGTTTAGTACAGCATTGTCAGTTGCTCCATTGAGGCTTCATAGGTTTGTGCATTTTGAAATAGATGCACTACGATATTTTTGTTTCAAAAGGAAATTAAGAAAATAATTTTATGTAATACTGTGTAAGTACTTCACGGGGTAGACAGTTCAATATTTACATCAATGTTTACATATGTAAACTTTTTGTATATTTTCCAATATGAATTCCATAATGCTGGGATAAATTTTATTCGGTCTATATCAGTTATATCTTCTAAGGTTAGAGTACTACAGGTTCGTAATACTACTTGACAATTGTACTATCTAATAACAAAGGATGATTTAAATAGAACCTACATCACATTTCGGTGGTATTTCCTGTCATCACTGTTAGAACGATATTATTATCTGTTTTAGCTGGCAGCCGATTATTGATTTTGTGGAATCTAAGTATGAAGAGTTCCTGAACGCTGAATCACGCGTGACGCGCAAGGCAGCGCCGCCTGATACTCGCGTCCACTGTTGCCTATATTTCATCGCACCCAGCGGACACGGGCTCAAACCACTCGATGTGGAGTTCATGCAGCGGCTCGGTGACAAAGTCAACATCATTCCCGTTATAGCCAAAGCTGACACTATGACGCCCGAAGAGTGCAAGGATTTCAAAGAACAGGTAGATATGTTATTGTATTACTAATAATAATACGTGCCACAGAAACGAAACAACCGCATCGTTATGGAAAACATGATTATCAATAAAAACTAGATTGAAACAAAGAATTTATTCTATAAAAATATTGACCCGACTAAGAATTGAAGCTCTTTTCCGGTATATTTTATTATATTCTTCTTATTATATTCATATATGTATTAAATTTACTTAAATTTACGTATTTGTTGAGACTATCAGTCAGTTAGGCAAGTCACAAATCAGTTATTCCTAAATAGTCAATGCTGGCGGGGCATCAGTGGAGGATGATAAAATTGGATCAGGTCAGTTAGCCCATCGGTGAATTCTCCATGAATTTATCACGATGGTTTCCAGGAGTAAACCATGTGGATGGCATGGTACGTTGCTAGCAATAGATTGGTCTGCTTACTCCCAGGTACTAATTACTAATAATTTCATTACCACCCGGTATCATATAGTTTCAAGTTACAATCACGACCGTCGCGCTATATTTATGCCCTATATGCAGCTGTGAAGTCTTTACAATTAATTCGGGTTACGCATTTAATAAAACTACATCTAAAATTTTAGATAATGAAGGAAATCACGCAACACAAAATCAAAATCTACGACTTCCCGGAGAGCAGCGGTGAGGAAGGCGAGGCGGCGGACGCGACGCGAGCAGTTCGTTCGCGTGTTCCGTTTGCTGTCGTTGGCGCCAACACTGTCATCGAGCAGGATGGACGCAAAATACGCGGAAGGAAATACCCCTGGGGAATTGCGGAGGGTACTTTTAACTTTTACTACCGCTACACTCAGTTTATTGAATAACAGACGATCACCGTTATAGGTAAAATTTCTACGTGGAGCACAATTTAGACCCAATACGTTCTGCCAGATTATAAAAAAAATGCAAGTTATGCTACTAAACAAAGCAAGACTTTTGATCTGTGTGATTAACAAGTTTCGAGTCGATCCGACCAGATTTTAAACAAGAACTGATATCTATACGTATAAAAAAAATTGGAATGTCTGTTTGTAATATTGAAATAACCGTTTTTTACTCCATGGATATGAATATAAATATAGTACATACACCAAAATAACAAGTTTTGTCTGTCTGTTTGTTCCGGCTAATCTCTGAATCGGCTTTATTTTAGATTTTACTTTAAATTCTTTTATTTTAGAAAATTAAAGTTAAATTCCACGCGGACGAAGTCGCGGGGAACAGCTAGTTGTAAATATTTATACCCTTATTGGTTCTCTACTGTAACTTTAAAACTTGAATTATGAGTAGTAACTTGTACAGTTTTTAATAATTCCTTTATTGTTAATTTACAGTGGAAAATCTAGAGCACTGTGATTTCTTGGCTCTGCGCAATATGGTAATTCGGACGCACCTCCAAGATCTGAAAGATGTTACGAGCTCAGTACATTATGAAAACTATCGGTGCCGCAAGCTCGCCGGTCTCTCCCACGATGGCAAGCCACATAGGATTAACTCTAACAAGTATGTACTACTTTATTGTGTTTATTTTAAATGTACAGGTAAAAGGCTGATTAATTTCGTTACAAGTTCTTTTTAATAATGGATCGCAATTAACTTGTGTAGAAACATGTTTTAAAATGTACTGCAAACTATTCAAATTTATATAATATTAAGAAGCAAAGTAGTTTTTACTGTTATTTTAATATCTTATATAATGTATGTTTTGTTTATAGTGCAAAAATGTTTATATAAAAAGAATATTTTAAAATTCATATCGAAAGATTATGTTGGCTTAAGCCTAAAAGAAAAGAAAAATCATTATTTATGTCTATGGTTTGGAAGCAAAGATTCAAATATCTTGTATGGATCATCGGCACTATTTGCATATACTGCATGCATATTATAGTTTGCTAGATAAAAAAAAAATTATCCAAAGTCAGACTAACAAAACATACTAAATGAGTGTTTTAGACGAAGTTAGTTTTCCATACTTAGTTAAAATTTGTACAACATATTTTTAAATATTAGATGTGAACAAATTTCTAATTCGAACAAAAAAATATTAATTACACTTAATTTGTTTATCTTCCAATTAGTCATTTTAAAGTGACATTAATTGTCGTCATTTAGTCAATAGTTCCCATTGTTTAAGGAATGTACAGACAGATATATAATGGTTTTACTTAAGTCCATGTTAATTAAATACAAGTCTATATAAAATTCATCAGCCTTTTAAAATTATAGTTAATATCTATTTTATTAACTGATTCATTTCGAATAGAGAATTTTTATTTTATTTTGTTATCCTTGAAATTATAATTTCATCTACTGTTTCTTATGTAACATCTTTTCTATAACTAAATCTGAAATAGGCATGGTTAGTAATAACAACCTATGTAGACTGGGTTGGTATAATTAATATTTACTAATTTCCTTTTTATTCATTATACTGCCGTCACCACATTTAAGGTGACCAGACTATATAACTTTGCTAATCAATTACAGATATCGAAATAACGCGTGTCTAACATATGTGCCATAGTAAACATTGCTGCATGTCTGGTCACCTTCTACTGACGATAATTTCCTGTACTGTTGCGGTCGCTACAGTGTTGTTTTGTTTTCGTTATTTTAGATACATTATTATTATATAAAATAGTTGCATATAACATTCTTTAATTACTTGAATGTTCTGTGCTTGGGCATGCAGAAATGGACTACTCTTTGTTAACATTGTCATCGAATTTCTCATGGATTACTTTTAAAAATCACTGTTCTTAATGTTTATTCAAACATATATATCCTTATGGTAAACTTTTGAAGTGATTGTTTTAAAATATCCATGATAAATATCATTTATCATAATGATTCGCTTTTACAGTGGCATTATTAACGATTTCTTGGACATCATTCATATATGTACTTTATAAACGATTACATACTACAATTTGCGTGTGTCGCACATCATCGCACAATTGGATGTGTACACTGGCTTGTATTTAAATTAGTTTTTTAACAAGACTTTTTTGTCTACAATGACTGCAGAAAGTATTAATGTAAAAATTTTGATACAATGATTGAAAATGATGCCAATCATTATTCAATAACGTTTTATGCACAGTATTACTACTAAATGAATGTGTTATACCTGTATGTTATTGCCCTAAATTTGATATAATTATTACATATTAGAACTGACCCGCTTTCTGCTACTATGGAAATGTGTTATATGCATTACGGTAATAAAATTACGCGGAAAATATTATCGGCATTTGTAATTATAAATAAATAAACGAGGGTAAAACATTTATTTATTTATAATTGCACCTATCGATAATAATTATAGGTATGCATCCTATTATACAGTGTAACTATTTCGCTGAATAATATTGATTAGTTGGATATTATTTGCTTTACATAATATATGATGCATCATAGAATCCGATGGACTTGGAATATTAAATATATTTGTTCAATCTATTTTTTTTATTATACATTATAATGAATGATAGAGTAATTTAGTTTTTCCTTAGTACCTGTACTATCATGCATTTCCTAGGATGCGAACGGTTTTTTCTTTGCTAAACAGTATTAATTTGTTCCACAACAAATATTTAGATTAGTAAATTTCCAATACCCATATGTATCTAATCTTAATTTGTTTTTCTATTTTAGTTTTATTTAAATATAACCAATTTAAAAATATTTTATTTTAAATTGAAACAAATATAATTGAACTAGTCAATTTTTTTCAACAAGTTAATAATAATGCGTTTCTGCAAGTTAATAATGCCACTGTCGAGTAATGGGCGAGCACAGCCGCGCGTTGTACGTTAACTTTGGTTGTGTTCGTGTTCAGTTTGTGCCCGCAAGGACTGATGAACAGTTTCATGACCGTGTGGTAAGTTATGTCGCGTACATATTTAATGTTAGTCTCCATAGTGCCATCCTACACTGTTCATTGTGTATAGCACCAGGTCTGCTTGTTGTAAGGCTTATATTTGTACACTATGTTGACCATGAAAGGTAGTTCAAATTTTTTTTATATATGATTAAATGTTAACGTATCGATGTTGGTTCGTTGACGCAGTGGCGTTTTGTTCATTATAAAACCATACGTATAATGTAAGCGTACGGTCAAATCGATAAAATTTTCACAGCAATTTTTAGTGACTATTATCTATCCCGTGGTTTGTTTGACTCCAAAGTTTAGATTCTGTCTAAACTTGACATAAATTGGCACCCTTTTGTTACTATGTGATTAATTTCGTATTTTGTTTGGCTGCGAAATTTTGAACAAACTTTCATGGTAGACGTAGCTGCTTACTGATGAATAAAAAGTATGTATATTATTAAATTACATTAGTTTTCAGGGTATATAATATTACCTACTAGACTGTTCAGTAAAATAATTGGATTTAAATGATTGATTATGTGTATAGATATTGACTGAAGCGTGAACAACAAGTATACATTTGTTGTTCTCATATTTGTGAAGGAAAAGGTAGGAAAAATCTGTAAAGTAATAAACAGCTTTGCTGTTAAATGAATTTAAATGTTATAATTAAAATAAAACGTTAAATAAATATTTTTATAAATTACAAATCTCTTAAACATTTCAAAATATATATTTCTGTACATATAAATTCGTATTTGTATCTAATCTTTTTCTGAATACGTTGAATACATTGACAAAACAATAATAGTAATATCCCTGAACAATTGACACAACGCCAACTATTCCCAAGGTAAGAAGAGCTTATGTTATGGGTACTAGACAACGGATGTAAATACATAGATACATTTTTCTTTATAAATACATAATACAAACATATATAGAAAACACTCAGACAGATACAACAATCATAATCATGAATACGAATGTTGTAACTGAACCCACGACCATGGGAAGTAAATTAGTGTGCTAAACCGCTAGACCACCGAGGCCGTCAAAAACAATACCCGAGGCAGTCTAGTGAATGAGCATTTAGGTCACCTGGATCGGGCGGAGATGATGCAAGGGGTGGGCAGTCAGGTGGTGGTAAACCCATTTTCTCACTGTATCAATATTGTTCAAACCGAATTATAAATTCAAATATTTGTTAAAGACTCGACAAGACATTATAATGTTTTGTGCGTTGTTTAAAAATATTGTAGTATAATCTTTCATTCTTTGTCACATCACTTCAGTCACTATCTTAAATTGCTATCAATAAAGTGACTATAATCTTATTGGTATCTTTATTATATGTTTTTAGTATGTTTTTCAGATAAGATTCTGAAGATTTGACAATACGTATTAATTTATGCATGAAAATTTCGACTCAACCTATTTATTACATTGTGAGAACGCGTGTATGAGATATTAGGTAATAGAACGATATGGATAATATATTAATTTGAAATAAATTGATAATTATCTTGTTAATTCATTGTAATAGACAATAATACTTTTTTTTAATTTATTTTACATGGGATGAAACGAAAAAAAAAATGTCACAAAGTGCACGTTTAGCCACATCTTATAAAACATGTATATACAAAATTTCTGGGGCACTGAGGCCAAATAAAGTAGAGAAAGAGAGTAAATGAGAGTGTATTGGTTAGCCTTGCATGTTTTTCTATATTATTTTACTATGCATAGATTATATTTATCTCTGTCAAATATGTTGTTGAAATAAAAGATTGGCATGCTATTTGGATATGGTCTGTTGTATACCTATTTATATGCAATTTAATGCTTTCGCTGTTATTAACAGCTTTATAAAAATACTATTGCTGTAATAGTATATTTTTTCCATTTGGAATACGTTAAATTATATTTCACGATTCTACAATGCTAATTTGTTTTCGTTTACTTTGGTCTACTTTTCATTAATAGTCATAAGTAACTTAAATAATAGAATTATGGTAGACAGATAATACATACATACCATTATTTTGGTTTCCGCAATTAAATTATATATATTAAAATTCAGTATAGCCTAATTTAGAAATTAGTTTCTTATTTTGAAAATTCGAAAAAGATAAACATTTATCCATTCAGATTAATTACAAGACAATACGAGTATGTTTTGCGATTTGTCTATTGATTTACTTATTTGATATGAGCAGTATTATTATTTAAATAAAAATTGTTCTCAGGAATCCTTTGGCACAAATGGAAGAGGAAAAGAGAGAACATGATCTTAAAATGAAGCAGATGGAAAGTGAAATGGAGCAGGTGGGTTCTGATTATATTTCATACGTCTTTCGTCCGTCTGTAAAACGATAGTTCTTACAATAGATTCATTTACCTTTCTTACCTGTTTCATTCTACATTGCTCGTTCTATTATTGCCAAAAATAATATGAACATGTGATATGACACGAACGAACACTTTAAGAATATCATTTACGAGGTCACGGATAGGTCTAGGTTAATATAATGTAAAGATATAATTATAAATTAAAAACAAATGATAATTATATCTCGGAACAATTCACACGCCATCGCCATCTAGTCCCAAGGTAAGCAGAGCTTGTGTAATGGGTACTGTACAATTGATACAAATACATAGATACGTATTTTTTTTGTAAATGCGTTCATAATATACATAGAGGTACTGTACAATTGATACAAATACATAGATACGTATTTTTTTGTAAATGCGTTCATAATATACATAGAAAACGCCCAGACCGATACAAACAATTACACTAATTTGTAAAAATGTTCGTACCGTGCGAGAAATCGAATCGCAACCATCGGTATGCTAAACCGCTACACCACCGAGGCCGTCAAGAATAATGAGATGATGGCGATTGTGTGCAGGTGTTCGAGATGAAGGTTCGCGAGAAGCGCGCCAAGCTGAAGGAGTCCGAGGCGGAGCTGGCGCGGCGGCACGAGGCGACGCGGCGCGCGCTGGAGGCGCAGGCGCGCGAGCTCGAGGAGCGCCAGCGCGCGCTCATGGCCGAGCGCGCCGCCTGGGAGCGCGACACCGGCCTCTCGCTCGACGACCTGCGCCGCCGCTCGCTCGAGGCCAACAGCAAGGAGTTAGTACATGTTGCTTTACCTCTTAACACTCTTTAATGCGCCAGAAGTATCTTCAAATAAGCAAATAATTACCTACTCTTTACCCGTATACAAATATATCTACAAATTAGTAAATATTACGATATAAGTGTGTTATTTTTGTTATAACACGCGACGCCGAATTTCGGACCGAGACGAGCGAGCGAGGGCGTAATAGAGCCTAGTGTGCACACACGTATTTAAATACATATAATATAAGTTTTTAATTACACTTTGTTTTAAATAGACTCAATCCTAAACTATGCACGCAGATGTACGTACACGCACTGTGTATTTACACTGTTCCTTTCTCAGCTTTTTACTTTTTTAAATCAGCGCGCTGCCTACTTATTGGCTGACTATTGAAAATAAAAATAAAAATATCAAATAGTGCTGTTCTTTTAATTTTACTACGATTACGATTCCAATTATTCTGTGCCAAATAGGATTTATGCTCGTGTTAGGCAATGTAAATTTGATCTGAATCGTGTTTTTGTAGAATAAAAACACATCTATTTTTATTTTATCTATTTCTAATTGATGTGAAGTTCCTATGTATTGCCAACATTTCTCATAAAAGTTTATTCATTTGTGTTATTTATATGTGGGTATTTAATGAAATTATTAATTTATCTTTGTTCTTTTTATGGACTCTTTTTTTAATATATGTTTAAGTCCATAGTATCGTTTACTATGAACTTGTTTAAACATATATTAAAAAAGAACAAAGATAAACTAATAATTTCAGTATAACGATACTACCAACATTTATTCATATCACATTAAAATAGTCACTATGGAATTTCAGTATTGAATTAAATAGCAATTATAGTTAATTCGACCTATCCCAACAAAGACGATCACGCCTGTTGTCCTATATAAGGCAGACATCTTATATTATCTATATCTATACTGACTTTTTTAATGTAACAAAGATGTTATACATTATAATTATAACTAAACTGGAATTTAATCTTTCGTTTCAGGACCGTGGATGGCAAAGACAAAAAGGATAAGAAAAAGAAAGGTTTGTTCTAAATGACCAGTGTGTCGCATCGGCTTCGCACCCACCGTTACTGCGTGACTAATCGCGCTCGCCAGCCGCACTGCGATCACCCGATACTAGTAGCTTCAACCTCTAACGGCGACTTGCACCACTACAATGTTTAAACGTTTCATAAACATTACTAAATCGAAAATCTTGTTAACTAAAAAAAGATCGTGCTATATGAAAAATTCCAAGTGAAACTGTTTTTGCGGACTGTACAACAATTGATGTGTTAGAAATATCTTTTAATTATATTCGTGTGGTTAATAATCACATATACATAAACTTTAATGCATGTAAATGCAATTATTGCTTTCTACTGCAATATACATTTAACAAATTTTAGATATTATAATACTACATATTTGACTTAAAATCGTACCTAAAACTATTTAATTGAATGGTGCAAGTCTGCCTATTTCTTAGTGGCTATTTTAATTAAATTATACTCGAGTCTTCACAATGCGGCCGTAGTATCGAATCAAGAGTACTCATTTTATGTAAATACCTATGTTACTTTGACATTTTCGAAATGAATTACTTACACATGAATTGACAAATCTAGTCGTGTTTATTTTTACATTATTTTATCCTGTACGATGGCTGTTTTAATCTTTACATACAATAATAACGACAATAAAATAATCAGTTGAATGGTTTAATCTTTTAATTGTACATAAACTTCGAAACGTGTTGAGGAACATAGGTTTTTTTTTCATGATAACCCTTAAGCTGATGAGATTTCTTTGTAGAATTTTTATAGTATAATTTGTGTAACCTAATATTGGGGTATCGTGCCATTCTCAGTGTTGTGACGTGCTGCTACTGTCATGTACACCAATTTGTTTGTGAAATTATAACTTATAACTGTCTTGTGTCGTGATGTCAAGGAAAATAATATGTGCTTATACCGAAACTTAGCTATACTAACAGTGGTAACGTGTAAAGTATGGTACTTCAGGAATTATTTGTGTTTACATTATGTAAGTGTTATTTTTGATTTTTTTCTATGTTGTAAATATGACAAACATACTCAACAAATTAACAATCTACAGACTGTGTAAAATGTGTATTGTGACGTCTTTTTATGAATTTATTATATTTTTTTATATTATTTTCTAAAAACCTCTCGCTTTTATTTATTAGTCTAATGTTTTCTTTAAATTAATACTTTGAAGTTATCAATAGATATCTATATGAATGTGTATAATTTTCAGATTGGTCTTTTAAGAGTGTTACAGCTGGAATAGCAATATAGTATGGACATAGGTCTGAACACGACGCACCAAACTAGTTTAGTGAGATATAGTTGTATGATTATGATATACCATAAAGGAACAACGATTATTAAGAGACTACAGAACGTAATAACACTGTATTTGACATGTTAAAGCGGACTATTCAATTTTACACGATTTTACATAATATTACTTTTTATCTATTTATTTATAAGAGTTTCCATTATTTATGTTTTATTTATCGTAAGTAAGGCCTAATTTTTACTATCATGTTTCAAAAATCATTTGTAAACAATGTTTTGTACGATTTTTTATTTGAGGCCTTTGAAATTTTTACTGTTTTCGTTATGAAAATAGTGCACAAATGTTTTTACAGCTTACGATTAGATTTTTACGTCCACAGAGATGCCAAATAGCTTGTAATAATAACGATCTGCTTTAATCAGAAATCGACGTCTATACACATTATTGTATTTTAGTATATATTATTATATAATATATTTTGAATTCTACAGACAATGACAATTGTAGCGACGTGATTTCTCAGCTCAAAAGTGAAATTAAGGTATAGGCCAATAAGCCTTTACTGATAAATATAGCACTTTCAAATACAAATTATTATCAAATGACAGACTGTCATGGTTTTTGTTATATTTATAAGTAAAGATATTACGTACTGTAGTTATTCAAAATTACTTTAGGTATCTACACCATTCTAAATTTTAATGTGAATTAGATAAGAAATATTTTTTAATTCTATATCATTATAAATAATACAATTTTGGCTTATTGAGTGCATTCGAGTATCTCAACTAAAGTGTGAACTAGCACGGCGTTTGTTATATTTGTATGGAGGGTCGCAGAGTGAACCTACTCATAGGAGAGAAATAAATTGCATTAGAAGTCCAAATTTCTTAGGCCTGTAAATATAAATAACATGTAGTTAGTCGCCTTACCAGATACGATTTAATGGATCAGAAAAAAATATACTTCTCTATATTTGAAAAATGAAATTGTCACTGATTTGGAGGCATACTACAACAATATAATCAAATGAAATTATTTTTTTAGTCAAAGGCCATTAAATTAAATTATTTCGCGACTCGTTCTATAACGAAACCATGGTAGCGGCGGACTATATTGTTACCTGTAACTATTATTATATTTACAGGTAACAATATAGTTGGTTTTAAGGAAATTATACTTACGGTCGTGTCGCGAACGCGCTATCCTCTCCTGCATGAGAAGTGAGCTCTGTTTGACTAGCCTTTTACATCGTTAGTTCGGTAATTGTGCTTAGTGATATTAAAATATGCTCATAGATCAGTTGTGAGATAGACTCTAGCTCTAGCTAGGTTTTAGTGTTTCAATATAATATTATATAGGGAGTGAAACAAGTAAGGCTCATCTACAAAAATGGCTTATACCGCGTATTATTTTATTTTGACTTGATTCCTTTAATTTTTGTATTATCTGACGCTACATGCGTTTGATTTAACTGCAATAAAATTTTGTATTTTATGTAAATATATTCATTTGTTTATTATGCTCATATAAAATCAATTATATGCCAAGTTACTCAAGTAATGACTACGTAAGTAAGAGGAATATGCATAATCTTTATCTAATCAGCATGCCGTGGCAAATTGTATTATTTCCTACATTACAGTATTGATTCTCTCTCAATAAAATAAGACATTAGGTAGTAAGATTATGCTTAATTTTGTATTTTGTGTAGGGCCTCGGCCCGCTTTACCATACTGATCATTTGCTTAGTCATTACCAACGGATATGTGATGTATGTTGGATGAGGAGTAAAGTGCAGACGATGTAATATATTGTACTTTGAATAAAATATAAATAAATACGTAATATATAGGAAACGTTTGTTTTATTTACAAACCATGTGTGACAAGATATTTTGATCTTGTTAATTTATTTATTAATCTTTAAATGCATATATGAAGACAATTACTAACCCTTTAATAGTTTAATGACTAAATTTATTATGAATTATGTGATAATTTTTGTGGCGTTTAATCTATCAATTGTTTATTTTATTTATATGATCATTCTGCCTTTTAACAATTCAGAGAAACTTATTATAAATGATCTTGTGAATGCGAAAAGAAAGGACAGAAAAGAATTTTTTTTTCTGATCTCAATTATATTGATTGTCTTAATTGTATTAGCTGGCCGGTAACTGCAGTAGTATCAATCCACTTCTGGTTGATGAATATATTATAGCTATCTATGTAATTGTTGTAGTAGCATTTGATATTATTTTAAAAAGTATAAAATTAGATTAAGGAGTCGGTTGTAGGTTGATAAACCACACAATAGAATTCTGAAAGCAATAGGACAAGAACAAAGCATACAATAAATTGCCTATTATCTTTATTTTTTTTACGTACAAAAATATGTAAAACTAGTGATAAGTGTTTTTCAGTTTTTGTAGCTCATAAAAAGTGTTGAAGGAAATGGAAACAATAAATTCAAAGAATACATATATTAAGGGTAAATAAAATTAAGATAACATGAAAGTTAATAAAAATTCCTCATAAGAGGTGAATAAAATTTTTTATGAGTATATTTTACACTTACTTCTATTTTATTAATTTATTTATTAATATGCTAATATAAATGTAATTAAAGACCGCCATTTCAAAATTGTATGTAGATTACAATTTTGAAATGGCGGTCTCGTCTTCAGTGCACTAGCGGTAGCACCTCGCCATAATATCTATGGTTCCGGGTTCGGGTCATTCGTATTCATGAGTATAATTGTTTGTATTGGTGTTTTCTTTCTATAATATAATATGTATACATTTACACAAAAAAATATATAAGTATTTGTACCAGTTGTTTGGTAACAGTAACACATGCTCTGCTTAGATAGAGACTAGATGGCACTGTGTGAATTCTCCAGGGGTTATTAATATTATTGAATAATTACTATTATTATCATTTTTTAATGATAGATCTTGAATCATAACGAGTTTTAATCGAAATACAATTACAAAACTATGTGGTTTTTATTTCCTTCCAGTTTACATCAAAAGTCGGTAGTTTGCAGATTTTTAATTGAATAGCAGTTATGACCCCATATCCTATAATTTTACTGAAATATCTCATTAACGGAAATACCGCTTAATAACAAGCTGCTTTGCGCCTGGGTGAAACGGAAGAGTGAGGTGTTAATACGTACAATTTATCGCTAAAGAACTGGAAAGTAAAAATAAAAGTCGGCTATAATTTCTGTATGAATTTTTATATTTGGTGATTTATTAGATCACATACACAGTGTTATACATCCGTCGGCCACATCAAAATACAATCCATAAACCCACGAACGACCTCAAAATATACTGTTATTTTAACAACGTGACTACATCTAGGCATTAATATTAACATCTTTGGCAGCACTATGGAAAATATACTTCTACATAATTATTTCAATGAAAATGCAACTTTAAATATAACAATCACAACAGTTTCTCGACGATACAATCTTTACTTCTATATACACATAAAATATATAATATAATATTAAATTGATTTCAAATATTAGACAATACGCGATAAACTATGATCTCTTTCCATTGAATATTCTATCAAAATTAATTTTATTTACAATAATCTATTTATCGGGGTTTTGTTCCTTCAGGGTTATAATCAATCTATATATTACATAATGAGAACAATAAAAATATAATCATTATAATTTAAGTGGGTACTTTCCACCTTAGATATATAACATTTCTCTTTTATTAATTATACTAATAATGTACTTCTCATCAATCTAAACGTATCTACCTACTTTGATTTGAGAATCACATTTCATCCGGCACGTGGGGACCTATTTTAGAAGATATGATATTCATACTAGCCTTATGTGTTTGAAAACTTAAAACTCAACATTTTGTACCTATTTATTCATGAATAACAATTATAGGCCTAATGTTATATTGCAGTTAGTAGCTATACGTATCTACCCAATACGGATTATGGAAAACTGTCTCCCATAGACATACAGGTTCATTTGGCTTCATATTATAGAATATATAAATATATTAAGTAACAAGGTGGTAGTTGGTAGCGAAGCTTCAAGTTTATTTTTCTTTGTATTGGAGGTACGATAAATAGAACTGAAGCATAGTAGGAAATTTGAGCCTCCAATGTGTCCTTATGCATATTTTCTGTTTTTAGGACATAACGTAACTAAGATAAATTAATATAGGCCCTTGTTCTAAAGTGTATCGTAATATATTATTATAGGCTGTATGTTTAGGCGTTTTTAATTTGTCTATTAGAAGACACTTGAAAGATTTTTCATTACGTTACAATACTCGAGTCTTTTCCATCTTACATAGATACATATCAAGAGTATAAGTGTAATTAGTAAATCACGTTTTATTTTTGTCGAGTTCCCGATATTTCGAAAGTGTTTCAACGGCCATGATCACGGGTAAACTGAAGAGCAGCGGGTAGAAGGTAAATAAATCACCGGGAAGATGGTTATAGGCTCTTTAATGCTTGGAATCCAGTGATTGGTTTAATTAAACATAAAACGCGATCACAAAGTGTATTAAGACGTGAAGATACTGTGAGTATAGTTTGCCGAGATGAATATCGAGGGAGTTCCAATAGTAGCAACAAACGAAGACGTGTGAAGGTAGACGAATATGTCTGCCCATAAAAGATTTATTTACCTTCTATCCGCTGCTCTTCAGTTTACCCGTGATCATGGCCGTTGAAACTGCCGAAATATCGGGAACTCAACAAAAATAAAAGATGGTAAGATCCTGTGATTTACTAATTATAATATAAATAATGACCGCGTCAAACTTAAAACAGTATATATCAAGAGTAATAAAGTTTCATGAAGTTTGAGAAATCTGTCCAGTTGAATAGCTATCAAATTATAATAACATTTATATAATAACCAAATCAGATGTACAGAGAGGAACCTAGTTCTAGACAATTTGCTATCTGCCTTTAAACTCTCCTTAGTAATTTTTAAACGGTCGGCTTTAAAAAAAGTAACAAACTAAGTTTTTTGTTTATAGTAGATATACTACTAATAAAAAATCATATATACAGATAATTTACTTGCTAACTATAGTAAAAAATGAAATAATAATAGTTTAAGTTTTCAAACTTGGCATTTATATTTGATATACATATTTGTTTTAATACAAATTTATTATACCTATGTATGTTATGTTGTTTTATAAATATATTAGGTATATATTTATAAAACAACATAACATATTGTATTTGTTGAAAAGTTTGTCCCAAGGTCAATTTATTCTACTCTCTATGTAACTTAATATAATAAAATAGACAATAACTACTAACGTTTGTTACAGTTCTTTAAAATGTAAGCAAACTTAGTATCAGCGGCGTACACAGTAATGAGTAAATAATTGTAATATTGTAGTTTCACGAGATTATACAGATTTATAGTAATTACGGCAACAAGGACAAAAATATATTAATTTTTGTTTTCTCCAATAACTACAATATAATAGAATCTATCTAACGTCGTAGAGTATTTAATATTTTACTCAGTATTGGTTTTTTATTGAATGTACAGGACTATGTTTTTTGTTTTTATTCTAGATCTTATAATGTCATTGAAGCAATATCAAGACTTCGGGATCCACCACGCAACGTTCCCTTCATACATTTCAGAACTCGTACCATGCGTTTGCTTCTATAATATAACTAACTTTAATATTATTATTAATGGTTACTATTATTGGTGTTCTTGTAGTGTCCCTCTAAATTTAAACTACCATTAAAACGTTGAAATTATAAAGGACGTTGTACTAAATGTCAATAAGTATCTTGTAATATCACAAATCACTGTATCTCTAATCACTATACACTAACCAATAAGTTATGATTAACGCGATGGAAGTCCTATGTGTCCGAGACTCCATCACTAGGATGAATAACCGCTTAGGCTGCATTGCTTACGAGTATATACTGACTGTCTACTGACCTGATTTATAGACTGTCCTTGCTAAAAATCGCAACATCCTAATCACCTTATGAAATTTTATGAGTTTTCATTATTTATGTTTGTATTATTTCCATTGCCTTACATTTGAGTATTTTAGTCTGCTAGAATCCAGAATACCGTGTGAAAGAAATTATTCTTTATATATCTACCTATAATATTAATTCATATTTGTTTGATATGGCTATTAAAAAATTAATAAAATTTTATTATTTTAAATATTAATTAGGTACATATAACGATTTATCACTCATTATTGTCTTGTCTGGTATGTAACTTGACTATATTCCAAATACTGTCTAATGTAAGTTGGTAGATAATAGTGAAAATTCACAAAATTGTACTAGGTAGGTACGCACAAACTGCGATATTAGAAAAATATTGATGTTGACTTAGGCATGTACGTAATCGATATATGATAAATATCGATTTCGACAAACATCGGTGTTTTTCTTTGTTTGGATATTTGGCTCTGGTTATTTGATTTCATATCAGTTTGCGTATGTGAACTTTTTTTAGCTCATCTGGTATTAAATCAATTTTAGATTTAGTACATGTTACTGGTTTATTTATATCTAGATATATATTTGGACTAAACATCGATGTCCGACAGATGATCCGACCCGTTCAATAGGGTTGTCTCATTGTGTTGTGCGCATACACTTTATCTTGATTCGTGATTTTGCGATTCTTAGCAGGAAGGTCTCCTCTTAACACGCGATACATTCCAATAAACATTACACGAGGGAGGCACAATGGCACAGCTATTGTATTAATGACTAAATAAATACGTACCTATGTACCTATTTATTATGAACATTACAACATCTATCGTTTCTTTCGTGTTTCTTTTCATATTATGACTATAATAATATAGTTTTTATTATGAGGTGAGATTTCATTAATTACTTACGTTACAATGAACAAATTGATTTTAAATCACGATTAATAAGTACAACTACTTAGAATTAAATTACATTAATGAACTTCTTACATCTGGAACTTAGTTTGGCACAGTTCTTTTTCTAATCAAATTAATCGGCAAGATCGTTGGAAGAAACAGTATAAACCAATAATGTTAATATTTTATACCAACCACTTTGGTTAGAGGGTAGGTGCATTTTATGGCTTATCAAATGCCGTCATCATTATGTAGCTGTTACAATGTAGCACTAATTTCGAGATCTAAAGACAATAATTATAAGAATTTAGTTTTTATTATAATGACGTAAAGTTGCCAAAAATATAGGATTAATTACAAAGAGCGCCCATCTTCCTTATTCGTAATAACAAAAATTTATTGAACCATGTCAAAATCTATTAAACTTTATTGTCTATTTCTTTTAAATTAAGAACATAATTTGAAAGAAAAGACAAGAAAGTATAATAACCAGACTTATTTATTTCACATTTAATGTTTTTATGAATAAAGCGATGTATCAAACAAGTTTAAATCCAGTAATAAGACGTCATTCATGAAACAGTAGGCTCACTTATGTAATTGAAACGAATTTAAATCGAATCGAATACCTACATGAACGTATTTTTGAAATGATGTCAAAGAGATATTTGCATTGCATTATAAATTAATATAAGAGATACAACTCGATTTCTGAATGCATAGTTAATAATTTGTAAAGATCATTTTTTCCAAAATACTATTTTACATATAATATTCGTAATTTCGATTTGATTTTGTTACTACTCTGTTTAATTTTGCTGTTCTTATTACTTTTGCCAATGCAGACTGGTAAAAATGTAGAAAACTAATGAGACTGTTATTCTTGATGATAAACAATATAGACAGTTGGGAAAATTTGTTTAGTTTCACAAATTTATATTATCACTAAATTTAGGCTTGTGATTTCCTCTATGAACCCTGTATTTTTAGCAATCATAATGAATAAGATTCGTGTAAAGATAAAATTGTTATTAATTTTAAAGATTACATTCTAAAAGATGAAATTTATCATAGTACAGACCCGGCCGTTATCAAGTCGGATTTCTAAGAATTAGAAACTATTATCGAAATATATTAGTAGGTACTGAATCATGTAGTCTGTCGAAAATAGTAAGGCTCTCTAGTAAATTATTTATCCAAGTTTTAAAAATGATTATGAAGAATAATTATTTCATATATGGATGATTATTGTAAACCTATATAAGATTACAATTTTACTGATGTCTTAATAATTAAATACCTTATTAAACTTAATTGGTATTTAACAGTCAAAGCAGCTTTACTCTAATATTTGAATCTATGTTATACGTGGCCACAAGTTCGATTCACAACTCTTCATTGTAAAGCTTTATGAAGCTCTTTACATTAGTTAAAATAATTAAGTATTTATCCTAATAAGTATATAACATCATAATAGAATTGAAACCGACTTATCGACATAGACATCTAAATATATTATAGTACAATTAATTATGAAGGCAATAAATAAGAGTAAGTCATTATAATAAGATTTAACATTCTTAAAACTATAAAACGAAAGCCAACATTGTTCATAGAATTAGTTAGAAGAATAAAAGCTAGTAAAGTACCTATGAAAATTAATAGTGTTATATAGACGAATAGAGGTGAGAGAGCGCAGACGGCCGACCGACAAACGCGGCGTGCTCGATCGACACTTGATGTTAGCAGTGATATAGAAGCATTGTAAGACGCTACTTGATAGTTCATAGACAAATAAGAGAGCTTTGTTTACAGTAAATAGTACAGTGACTTACTAACTTAGCAAACTTTTTCTACAACTTCGACTACGTTAACTAAATCATTTAAACCACATTTAATTGCGGCTACCACATACATTTATTTACGAATGACCGTTTAGAAATCTACGCAGCACCCACGAGAGGAAACATTAGACATTTGTAACTTTAACAACTGATCCAATCTATACTCGTATAATATAACAATAATAGTAATGTTACCTACATAACATTAATAATAAAATGTGTTATAAATTATACAACAATTTCTAAATCTACCTATTTGATATGTTAATTATTGCTATAGTGAATTATTTAATGTTAGCGATATTGCAGATATGTATGGTAGGCGGCATGCCGCGCGATATGATTAGCTCACAAGAGTAGCAGCAGCCAACAAGTCACGAGCAGGACCGTAACTAGGGCGGGCCGGACAACTTTAGGTACATGCGTACTCGGGGACTAACGTTCTTTCCGATTGTCCTTCCAAAACTTACTTGTTTTAATGTCGACCCGGTATACGATAGATACGGTCCTATGCAAAGCATGCAATAATCGGTACTGTTAGTCTGCCGGTCGTCTGCATCCGCATCTAATTGTTTTATAATGCGAGTCTGTATAACACTATTCATTTCACGGGCGACGTGGAGGCTGTGTCTACAGCCACCAGAGTCAAATTCCCTCATCTTAATATTAAACATCCTCCCTTTGGAAAGATGAAGTACGACATTAATGACGATAATCACGTACACACATGCAACACACATCTATTTGATCCGTTTCACAATCATGCAATTGTAACCGCCTCGCCAGACGCTCCAACATATACCATATAGCCGTATTCTATCATTATTTACACGAACTCGTTAAAAGAAAAACGGCTAATATGCGATAACATTGAATGCAAGTAACTCTGTGTTTCAATGAAATATAATGTGTTAACGTAGCATGTTTGTAAATAAAAGGTTGCCATCGATGCCAAAATAATGGAGGAAGCCAATTCGTGCAAAACGTAAAACAATGTGCAAACAGGATCACGGATTGTGCAGTTATGTGCATTTATAGAGAACAAATAGCTTACAATACAAGATAAATCATACGACAGGGTAGATAGTAGATACAGATTATTATATTATAAGTACATAGATATTATGAAGTAAAGATAGGGTTGCTTACATAATAGGTTTAAGAGGGGAAACTTAAAAAAATAGGCTTCTCTGTGTAATTGTTTACGTATATATTATGTAACAATGTGTAATATTATGATAGTGTAACAAGTATTTTATTGTACGTATTCACTCTTCTTAATTATTGATCACAATTTTTTTAGTAATTATTGAAGCAAATTTTATAGTTGTAACAGTAGCTTGTATGCTCTTCTACTCTAATTATTATAATGGCATGTACACGAAATCGATTGAGATTGACACGTGGTGTTACATCAAAGGCGTAAATAGTAACAATTCCTTTACTTAATTATTATTCATAAAATATTGTTCAAATTCAACTAAGTGCTGCGCACGTTTATCTCTATTTTAAGCACTGAGAAATCAGAGAATATTCATAATAATTCTGATGTTTTTTGTGTGTCGCAAGTGTTCTACCAGAAACCGGAACTTCGTTTGTATATCGTACTATCCATCTTAAAATTATTATCTATTGCTGTGATCCACTGAATAGTTATAAATATTGTTTACAATCTATTAAATGAATCTACAGCTATCACAGCCGGATTCGAGGATCACAAACTTTATCGTCTCGCTCAATCACAGTTCATGACGAAACAGAGACGTCTGTGATTCTCGGGACGAGCTTCTCACCCTAGACGCGTAACTCATGCAAGCATTTCGTTGTTATATTTGTCTAAACTAGCGTGAAAATCTTTTATTTAAAAAATAGAGTTCTTTATTATGTAAACAGTCGCGATTACGACATTGCCTACCGCAATTCTTATAACAATCAATAATATATTAAATCTGGCTAGCCATCAATAAAACTTTACGGCTGCCTGCACCACGTACGTACAACCTACCGTAATAGAAATTTGCCGGAGAGTTACGCGTCGGACAGGCGGACTCGGCCTACCGCTGCTCGGCGACGAGTCGTTTCAAGGGACGTTTAATCCTTTAAAACAAGAGGAAGCTGACCCTGGTCCGGCGCGCGTCGCCCTTGCCGCGCCGGCCCATGCCGTACTGTCACATGGCCGTGTCGGAGGAGCTGCCACCCGGCTTAGCGTCGCCGCCGACGCCGCCGCCGCCGTCCTCGTCGCGCGCCGCGCCCCGCCCGCCGCCCGCGCCGCCAGCGCCCCCGCCCGCTCCCGCCGACAGCCCCGTGAAGTCCAGCTTGTACTGCATCACACCACAGCACAGTTAGTATGGTATTTTGATACCGATACGATCGTCGAACCCACTCTTCTATCCTCGGATTAGGAAACGCGCGATTTCTTACATAACATTTTTATCGACTCGGGCGTTGTAACGTATGAGAAATCTTGCCGTAACCGAATCCGAAAATAAAATCTATGCGAGTTGAAGAAAAATACCCAGTGAGACAACGCGAAACACCATGCACGTGAACCAATTGTGTGTTTATGAAGCGGCTGTTTAGCACAATTGTTGTGTCTTTTATTTAATTATGTTACAACAGTTATATTATTATTCTAGCTCTTTATATGATAAATTACCTTAGAGTTTATAATTATATTTATAAACTTTAAGTACAATGTTAATATACCACACATATACTAAACTATATAAAAATTATCATTGCAACAACACATCAACAACATTCAAAATTAGCTATAGGATACACCACCAAACAATTTCTACACTAAATTTCAATAAGTCATAATAATATTAGTATACATTTCAGTCTTTCAATAACAATGTGTACAAACTGAAGTCGTTAGATAAAATCACAATTCCGAATCCACAAAATACCTACTTCAACCATTCAATACACTATTTTCACTCTTAAATGTGGATGCTTTTCGCAAATTTGGCTTCCAATGCATAGGGACTCTCTCGGGCATACACAGGGAATACTGAAAATACGAAATTAAAAGAAAACGTAAAAAAAGAAATCATACCAAAAGAAATAAAAAATAATAATTTAGTCTTGTCGGTAATAGTCCAGAAAAACTGTAGTGGGAGGAAAATTACATATAATAATAATTTTTAACGCCAATAATTTGTTTAGCAATGTTTATAGATTCTAGCTCTTTAATAAGTTTAAAAGTTAAGTAATATGTAATCTTATTTTTATTATTATTTTAGCGAAAACAAAGGAGTGGTTTTGCATATATCTTTTATAATGAGCATGATTACACATAACATGCTTGGGTATACTACACAGGTACACACAGATGTAATGAACATTGGTTGTGATAGTGAGACATGGAGACAGACCGAGTCGTCCCTTGTATTCGCTGAGGATTTGTTTATCGCTTTCTCCAGCGGTATAAGACCCTGAAGTAGAAGAACCATCGGTGCATGGCCAAAAAAAGAAGAAAATAACATACAAATAAAATATACTGTAAATAAAAAATAGGAGCGTTTGTAATTTAATTTTTCTAATACTATTCAAACTAGTATCTAGGAAACTAAAAAGATTTACTCTTGTTTTCTATGTCTTCCAAATTTTAGGTTACTTATCAGTACGAGTTGTGAATATGTAAATATTCAAAACCAAGAGTAAATCTTGAAACTGTGATCACACTGGTTCACCCGTTTCCCGAAAGTCTAACAGTCACGAATTAAATAAAATCTGTAGAGTACTTAACAGGTGCAACACTCTGGTGCCTTTTAACCACTCCCACACTGGCCTCCCACGGCAAAGGTACCTAAGGAACATTATGTTCCAATGCACTAACATCTTAAAATTTCCTAATAAAAATTACTATAGATAGGTACTCTTAAAATGTGCGACGTGTTGCTTGAAAAGGTCGTAAATATAATAAAACATTGAATTCAGTTTTAGTTGAAAATGGAGTGAATACCTTATTTGCGCAGTCGAAACATGTGGTTACAACTTTGCTGATGACGTTCATAAGATGCTTGGTTTCTTGTATGACATTATCGACTTTGCTGAAAGTGGCAGCGCGACCGACGGTCGGCTCCTTGACGGTGAACTGTAATTGCTGCACATACGTCGGCACCTTATCTAGATGCTCTAATAACTCTTTTTTTGTCGTTCCCGCTGGCACCTTTAGAAGTATAACATACTGTGTAAAATTTTAACCTAATAGCGGTATATTCAAAATTGTATTGTTTTATTGTTACCTGATAAGAAAATTGTCGCACAATTTTATAAAGCCTATTTGCTTCTTCAGCAAAATATTCAGCTTGTGTGAAAAGGTCTTGCGTGGTATTAAGACGGCCTTCGCCTTTAGTAAATTGATACATAGCGAAAGCCATGGAAGACATATTTTTTGCCCTGTAATAAATATAACGTTACAAAATATGCATTTAAATAGACTATTTTTACGTAACCATTTGTTATACAATACCTCTTCACAATATCGTTGTTTTCGTCTGCAGCTGCACCCTGCCATTTTTCAGTTTCGGCGTCCATCTCAGAGGACATCATTTTCATTTCTAAGCCCGATTTAGCTATCTTTGCTTGTTCATCGGAATCCAGTCGTACTGCTTTTAAGGGTTTACTTGTGGTACCATGTTTCTGCAAGTAAAATGAAGGTATATAAATTATCAATCGACATTGCATTATCTATTGACAATTTTCCATTTGAACTCTTGATGAGAAATATTATCAGTGAGAAAGTTAGTATTATTGTTTCTGTAACGTATGACTTACACCGGGTCTGGGTAAACTGCTATACTGTTGCTTGTCCGGTCTGTCATCCGTGAGGTCAAGCAATTCTCTAGCAAGGCGAGCTGCATCTGCCAGCAACCAGGCCCACATATCCACGAACACGTCGAGATTTTCTCGCGCCGCTGCGCTTCCCGGATGCGCTGCTAATGTTCTTGCTGCCGTAACCACTTGGGGGCCGTATATCCTCAGGTTTATCTCCGCGAATTTTGCACTAACTTGGAGTGTCTCGGACATCGCTATATGTCTAAGTAATTTGCATACCTAATAGAAGAAAAGTAAATTTCAGAATAATCTTCAGAATGCAGATTAAGTCATTGTATGGAAATATATCGACACGATAAACGATAGAAATTAAAAATAGAATCAAAAGTTGAACAATGCATGCAGACCACGTTCGCTTAAAATCGGTCAATAATTAGATTGTAAACTGCAAACTCACTCAGAGTGTTTGTATTGCGAAATCACGTCTATAATCGAGTTACGGTAATATTAATGAATTAATTCGTGTTAAGATTAAACAAACAATATTGGTGACACAGATTGTAAACTATACACCTTGGAAACTAACCTCTATTATGTGATCTAATTGTTCGTGAAGCCGGCTGGCAATATTGTGCAGTCTCTCTGATTCTCTCTCACCACAGGAACTAGCTGGAATCCAATCAGCGTATTCAATTTAATATCTTTTGATATAATTTGGTTTCACTACGTATGGTGATTCATATAGAGCGATCACTCGTGTGACGTGGATAGGAACTGTTATTAATCCGACCATGACACAGAAGAGTATACGCCCCTTATAAAAGCACCACTGTACCTATTTTCCGTCGTAGGTTACCTATGTGCGCGAGGTCGGAGGCGAGTCTTCGAGCTTCGTCAGCTAGTGGTGCGAGATCACGCGCTTGGTCTCTTGCTGCCACTACTAACGCACGCTCCAATTCTGACGCCGCGCTCGTGGCACCTGCGCAAGCGCTTTCCATAGCGGCTCCAGCACCACTTGTGCCCTGCTCTTCCTGATGTTAAATGTAAACTGGTTAGCTTTTCTACCATTAATTATTTTTGACAGTTCAAATTGAAAAGATATGGACTATATATATGACTACTGGTTTCATTTGGTGAAACATACAAATTTAATGCGGAAGGGAAATAAATTAACCTATGTCATGAATTTTAAATGTGGGCGGAATAAATAATCATATTTATTAGCTAAGTAGGTACCATTCGGTTATTGGTAAACAGATATAATTTTAGCTAGATATAAAGGAGAGAATAAGTTATTAAGGAAACATCTTTCTATAAATATACAGTTTTTTTATTTATTCGATTCTTACTACGGATACAGCCACGGCAACCAGTCTTTCCAACTCGTACGCTATCCGTTCGGCGAGCGCGAGTATTCTCTGCCTATGTTCGTGAGATGTGTAGGCGGAATCTGTGAAGTCGTGTGTTCTCTCGACGAGTGCTCGTAACGTGCCTGCGAGAGCTCGTCTCCGAGCTGCATCGGCACCTCCACGTGCTCTCGCCGCTCTCACTTGCGCCGTCAATCCCCGTAGTGCACCTAGTGCTGTTCCCGCTTCCCATTGCGCAGCCTGCTTATACCCACGAATAATAATAAATAATAATAGCTTAAAAAATTACCATCACAATACTCTTCATTTACTAAGAAATTTAAAATATTTATTAGATGATATCCTAATATGACAATATAAAAATAAATGGTATAAAGTGCTGAATAATATAATAAAAAAATCCAAGTGAGCGTGAACTACCTAAAAGCCGCATCTAAAATGTTATGCTCAAAAAGCATACAAAATCTCCCTATATTGTATTAAATTAGTAGTAATTATATTTCACTTTCTTTTGGCTAGTTAGCGTTTTTATAGGATTTGTAATATTTACTCACCACTGCACGGGGCCATTTCACTATTTAGAATAGTAAGCTTATTCTGTGATTTTGTACACAAGTAAAATGCAAATGCGGATATTTTCTTTTTTCTGCACAAAGCGTAATTAGCTACTAACCTAAGCAATTTAGCGTGATTTATTTGCATTTTGTGAATTCAGAAAACGTACCTATGTAATTCCTCCATTTCAGCCTAATAAACTAAATTATACAAAATGTGCTGTAAGTAAGTAAATATAATTGTGTGCCCGCCCCCTCACACAACATTTTGCTTGTTACATACTCACAGTTAAAATTAATTAAATATGTATTATGTTTAATTAATTTTAACTGTTTAGAATAGTTTAATAAGTAAGAAGACAGTTCCAAATGCTTACTGCAGAAAAATATTTTTACAGAAAAAAAATCACATCAGTTATAACTAGATACTAGTGTGTTGGGAACTGTTGGCGACAACTCAGTTCCCACAGTCCGGTCGGTTGTTTGAATTTGGTTGAGTTTTGTTGAATGGTGGGCTTTTTATGACTTAGACAGCAGGCAATGCCCAGTACATTACCCATTGGTTTTGCGTTAATGTATATATCTATGTTGTAGAAGTATAATGCGACCACCATCACCCAATAAGGCGTAAAACTTTGGAACAGCCTGTCTTACGTCGCAGCCGGTCCGCCAGAAATTCGAACCGAGGCGTGGGATTACAGCCTAATATTATTTAAAATATATAGTTTAAAATTTAACAAGAAAATAAGTATGAGGAAGCATAAAACATATTTAAGTCTAATTCTAAATTTAAAGCATAATAATTTATACGAACTAGAAGATACAATAGAAAATAGCTTTATACATAAAAAATTTAATTCACTGCTACCATCATAACTTTGTACCTGTTCATGACTATCCGAGTAAGGTTGCAACTACAAGAAAAGAAAGTAATATTGTGGTTTATCTATAAAGAAATTGAAAGAAAAATATTCTTTAAGTCATAGCACATAGAAATTGTAAAAATATATAGTATTAAAACTAAATAATAGATAGAACATTTTGAAAAATCAACTTGGCCTGAAGGGTGGAGACTGACAAAGACGGAGACCGGAAAATGACATGTTGCTTTCAATAAATTGCAATTGTAATTAAATAAATCTTCAAGTTTATCGATAAGTGTATTACGTGAAAAAACTGATATAAAAAGAAATTATTTTTCTAACCAATATTTTATACAAATATTACGTACCTACCTATAAATATATGTCACCACCTCATAGACGAAGAGTTCAGCTTGGTCACCCAGATACTACATTACAGGTACGTAAATGAGATTATGAAATTTGCCCATCATTATGCTTTGCAATTACTATTTGAAGTCAGAGCAATGACTTTTCACTGCATTGCAGAACAGTACATCAGTACCAGATGGGATAAAATGTAGGGAATTGATTAAAGAAATTAATTATGGTTGTACATATTTATTCTAATAGCTCATTAATTAAGTTTAATCTGTTTAATATATATGATACAAATTCTGAATAAATATTTACGTTTTCATAAAAAAATTAGGCACAAATGACAAATAATGTCAATGCTCATATTGGTTTTTAATACAATACGTAATTTCGGGAACTATCATTTGGCTCTACGATTTTTAGAAATATCAGTGTGTCTCTCAGGAGTTCTAAGTTTCTTCTAGCATTATAAAAATAACAATAGATATTGTTATATCTATGTAATATCCTTTTATTCAAACTTATAACCTAATATATTTTAGGATCGTCATGCACAATCAACATGCAATTAGAAGATACTTTACAAGTGTCTACATTGATATTATTGTATAATTTATCTTTAATCGACATAATGTGCTTAGAGACTCCAGTGCCAAAATTATTTTAACGTGCAAAATATACTTCATATTCCTTTTAAGCATGTTGATTGATTGCTTATAATGTAACAACTACTGTATTACTATTTCTTATATAATGTGTCTTCGTACAATATTTTTGTCCAGATGTAATTTAAGTGTTAAAAAATCTATTATTGCACGGTATTAAAAATGTTAATGGTTAGTTGCCTAATCTGCTGCTCTTTTCGGACTCAGAATATAATATTATACTGCTTACAAATTGTAAGGCAATGTTAAATATTGTTTTGTAATAGGACTATGATCACCAAGTTCTTCCACAGATGATTCTAGTAACTCTACTTGTATTTAATTGGTTAAGTTGTTCTTAATTATACTGTCATTGGTGTGTACCACTCACATATCTAGGGTTTTATTTTAAGTTTTCCTGTATTTGTACTAATATACCTACGCACGTAGGTATAATAGTACAAATACAGGATCAGGATCTTTGTTTCCTTAGTCGCGTTTTACGATATCCTAGGGATATCTAGTAATCTAACGGATAAGTGCTATTATTTAGGTCTAGCGTTTTAACTGGATTAAATTTCGTGATAAGAAAGGCCATAACGGAATAATGAATCCCAAATTATCTATACTTAGGTCATCGTTTATCTTCTCTATAAACTAGGGCGCAAGGCATGCTTGCATGATAACATGGTAATAATGGCATTGTTTGCCGGAATGTTCCATTTGCATGGCATAGGGCTGGCAAATTCAAAAACCAAAATATATTAATGAAATTTCCGAGCCTAGAAAAAGTATTCGCATGTCGCATTATATTTCATATTATAAAGTCTATATATAAACGGTTCTTCATTTGACTTGAAATGTAGTGGAGCTACATCCCAAGTCAGATGAAGAACCGGACAAGGTTTTTTTTTTCATAAAACTCATACTTTATATTTGATATCGACAGTCGCCCTCTTTGCTACTCCATCCACCTCGATAGCAGATCCAGTGCTCTCAGAAGGTCGTTGCCGCCATGACAGTTTCTTGTGCACGATATTTTATATACCTAATGCTCTTTATGGAGAATTTATTTTAAAATGGGAGATATAATTAATTGACCTGTTATGTCATGAAAGCTCTAGATTATGTTAGCATAGGAATCTATTATATTGATAATGGGACTTTTCCACAATTAATGAAATTTAGCAAATTAATCCCACTATTTAAATCAGGAGATAAATTTGAGCCAGGGAACTATAGACCTATATCTATTTTGCCAGTTCTAAGTAAGGTGTTTGAAAAGATAATGTTAAATCAAATGTTACAACACTTCAGGGATAACCGACTGCTTCACAGTCAACAATATGGTTTCACCGCCGGCAAGTCTACCACTGACGCAGGTGTCGCGCTGAGAACACATATTTTCCAATCATGGGAGAAGTCACAGGATGCACTCGGAGTTTTTTGTGACCTATCAAAGGCATTTGATTGCGTGGATCATAAAACACTTTTGTACAAGCTCGAACATTATGGTATAAAAGATAATGATCTAAAATTAATGAGAACTTATTTAGAGGATAGGGTCCAAACTGTAGATATTGACGGTATAAAATCTAAGGGAGCTAATATTGGGATGGGCGTTCCACAAGGGTCAATCTTAGGCCCCTTTCTCTTTTTAATTTACATAAATGACCTTCCCTTTATGGTAGAGAAAATTGCAGATATAGTGCTGTTTGCGGATGATACTTCGTTAGTGTTTAAAATTGGACGTCAAACTAATCAATTAGACAATGTAAATTGTGCTATGTCTGCTATATTAAATTGGTTTACATGTAATAACCTATTATTAAATTCCAGCAAAACAAAGTGTATAAAATTTACACTTCCTAATGTAAGACCAATAAATACACAGTTATTGCTTAATGACGAAATAGTAAATTTTGTTAATGATACAGTTTTTTTAGGTATAACAGTGGACTCGAAATTTGGGGGCCCCATATTTCAAAATTGGCCAATAGACTCAGTTCAGCTGCATATGCAATTAGAAGAATTAGGCAATTAACAGACGTGGCGACGGCTAATCTTGTATACTTTAGTTATTTCCATAGCATTATGTCATATGGTATACTACTATGGGGTAAAGCAGCCGATATAAATACTATATTTATTTTACAAAAGAGAGCCATACGTTCTATTTATGGTATGGGTTCAAGAGAGTCATTACGTCAGTGTTTTAAAGATTCAAATATCCTCACCGTTACTTCACAATACATTTATGAGAATATCATGTATACACGGAAGAATTTAGACAGTTTTAGAAAACTTAAAGACTGTACAAATAGAAACTTACGCAATAAAAATAAGCTAATTATACCTAAATGCCGCCTGCACAAAGTCAGTAATTCATTCTATGGTAATTGCGTAAGATTTTATAATAAACTGCCAGAATCTGCACTAAATCTGACAGAGAGGCAATTCAAATCTTATATTAAACAATTTTTATGTAAGAAAGCCTATTACAGGATAGACGAATTCATAGAAGACAACATATCAAGTAAATAATTAGTTTATTAGCATACAACGTTATAATTTGTTTATCTCATTGCTTTCTTGATTCAATTATTTTAGAAATATGAAAGCGTAGCGGGTTTTGTATTAATTGCCGCATGCATTCTTATGTGAAATGTGAATACTATAAACATCAGATGGCAATTGTGAGTAGCTATGACGTGGTCTGGTATAGTCATGCTCACTAAAATGTCCAGACTTGTGGCGGCGTGGTGGGCCGGGTCATTGGGCTCCCTAAAATATGGTCGAGCGCAGTGATGGCTGGCTCATCCGTCATACTCGTGAACGGGTGCTGCTTGTAGGGACTGGTCTGCTCTAATCACTATGACTGATTTCCTCATATTAATTGTTTAACCAGTTGGTTATGTATTCAATATTTTTTTCTTTTTGAGTATTTAATTGAATTAGTGCTAATCGGTGGTTTGTATTCACACACTTAAACTTAAATTGTAAGTAAGAATAAATTATTTAAAAGAGCAACACACAAGTTTCTTGCTTGTTCTTCTTGTGATGAAACAGCATTCCGAATGAGCGGTAGATTAAAAAAAAAAAAATGTTATGACTATTCAAAAGTGCTTCAATGTAAGTTTATTTGAATAAATGATTTTCTATTCTATTCTATTCTATTCTATTCTATATATAATCTTGCCATTCCAATACATAATAAGTACTGAAAGCAGTTTTTATTATGTATTGGAATGGCAAGCAAATTAATGGTCCACTTGACAAATGACAAGTTCATGTACAAAAGTAACGGTTGAGGCTTATACAGTTACTTTTGTACATGAACCGTACTACGGATATTGAGTATGTATATATATAATTATCATGTTATTACTAATATGAGTGATTTGTGATGTGAGTAAATTGTTGTTTGTATTTTTTTGTCATTATTGTTGTGTCAAGAGGAGTGAATAGAACTATATTCTATTCTATTCTATATCACGTTACTCGCATTATGTGAAATAACCTAATACCACTCATGCGTTGCCATTCTAGAGGATTAATATGTTATGACTCTTATTTTATAAATTCAGTGGTGATATTATCAGATTTGGTAATTATATGAAAACATAAAAAAAACAATACTGTAAGTATTCAAGAAATAAATATCAAAACGTAATTGTGTTCCACCACAATTGTGTGTTCTTATTACAACAAAACGTTCCTAAAGTTTTAGAAAACGAAAACTATGTTATGTAGATTCAGTTCTACAACACAGTTTATTACGAAGTATTAAGTAACCGGAGAGTTTACTAATTAGCTAGCTTATTACTTTTCATCTCGATGGATATTGATAAAGTAATTATTGGCTTTTTAGCAATTTTGAGATTTGTTATTTCTGTTCATTAGTTGCTGTGTTGTATGTATCTATGTCTTGGTTGTTTTAATATAATTGTAAATAGTTACTTATTTTAAAAGAATATTCGCTAAATATTAATAACGAAATGTTATCCTAAAAATATTATTGAAGTCCTGCATGTTTCGAACATATAGTTACTACAACTTTCATGTAAGTACTTCATAGGTCAATTTCATTTGGAGCTCTATAACTTGTTTCTGACGTCTGATCGTAGATAGTGGAGTTAGTTACAGTCTACTGCGAAACTATGTATATAGTATGTTTTATATTATGTAACATATATAAGTATATAATTACCTAAAAATATACTCAATAGTTTAATAATTAGCATTTAATATTTAGTACGGTTTGTTACTTATTGGTATATTTAAAGGTGCGGTTTTAATATATATGTACTCACAAAGGTATATATTGGTATATATATGTATATATATACCCCAAATACCAATTATTTATAGTTGCTACGAAAATTTCAGTAAATACTTTAGTGAATTCATACATTATAAAATAGCGTTAAGCAAAGCCGCTGTTTTCAGCTTTCTTCATTTAGTTTTTTGAACAATGCAAAAGATTTTTTTACCGTGTTCACAAATTTTTCGAGAATTTCTATATGAAGATATAATGCGAAGCCGAGGTGGGTAGTCCATTATAAAATAATATTTTCTACACTACAGTGGTAGTGGCTCATCTGATGGTAGGTTATTTGTATAGGGGGTAATGTAGGGGTTTTACATTCGAGTTGCCGTTCGTTATGGAACCTTATACATTTTACTTTATAACATATGTTCATGTCAGAAAAAATTAGTAGTGAAGGCAATGTTGATAGCTTACCTCAATCGGATAAAATCTGATTGTAATTGTAGATATTACTTTAAAGTAGCAAAGGAAATTGAGAGAAGTTAACTCCCACAATATCTGGGATACATAAATAAGAAAAGAAAGAACTTTGGAATGTGTCAAACAAGTGTGATGTGTCAAACCTCATGAGAGTGTTCCTCGTGCCCTGGAAGACCGTCACGGACTACGTAGTGTATTAGATCCATAGCTCGCCGCATTTGACAGAACACAGTATCACGGTTTTCTCTTGCTGATGCGCTGCCTGGATGCCGCATACATGTCTGCGTTATAGAAAATAAACTTTAATATCTTTCTGAATATCTGTATTTATAATAATTATTTCTATGAGTGAAACCCAGTAGGTTTCACTTATAGTAATAATTATTAATTATTATAACCACTGTCACTACAGTAACCAGTAACAAAGTGACACAGACAGACGTACTAGGAAAATATATACATTCTATTTTTTAGATTACATACCTTAATGTCGTATAGGAAAATTGATGAAGCTGATGTTGTAAACTACGCAAGTTGGTACTTATATACAGTTCTAATTTCTGCAAAATGAGTTTCTCAAAACATAGAGAAGGTGATTACTGAATGGAACTTAAAATAATTAAGTTACAGTATTTAACTAGATTTGCAAAGTTGGGTATTTCAATTGTCGTACGAAATTGCAATTCTGACATAGAGTCGTTTGCAGTAAAGTTTGTATTTATAACACAGGTAGACTGAATTATATTTCACGTCTTTCTTTAAGTGAATTACTATAATAATATATATGAGTCCATTAATGTAAAAAGTGATTGCATAAAAGCATCTACGCAAGATACAACACGTGCTCATAAATTTTAGTATGACATCCAAGAATTTATCATCCACTTTTTAAGTAGTTCCTACATAAAGAAGGCATGATTCATTCTTAGAATAGAAAAATAAATAATGTATGCAGAGTATAAAAGAGGGGTTAGAATAGAGGCACTCTCCCAGCCGCAAGCGCTCGGAAGCGCTGACAAATTGCGGCTTTGCCATACCGCAGATGATTGTTCAGTCCCCAAAGACATTCTATCATTTGTAAAGCGTAATGAATGTAGGTGGTAGGTTATTATTGAAACTATTCTTCTATATTTTAGAAATATCTTCACATGTACAAATTATGTGATTAGTAGAATTTTGTGTAATTAATTTCATTTACATAAATTTCATAGAAAATACACCTCAAATAAAGACTTTGGTCACTTAGTGCTAAAATAAGGCTGTAATATAGTCACATATTGCCCATATATAGGAAAACCTGGTACTGATAACCAGGTTTGTCAAATTGCCAAACAAAACATTCTTTGCATTGGAGAAGGTTTAAGTTCTGTAGTGTTTTGAATAGAGAACACTAAATATATGAATGATAAAATGCATGTAGAATTTCGTTGTCAACCAATTCTAATTTAATTGTAATAGAAACATTGTAATGGTGATACATCTGATAAACAGTGGTGACACTAGTAACCCTATGTATTGAAGTCAAAATGAGCATTTATCTATATATGCAACAGTAACTAAATCTAATATTTAGTAATGATATGGAACATCTTAAATAATAACACATTTTTTCTAATCATTAGAAAGTATCAACGTCAAATGTATTATAATATAAAATAAGTAGATGATAAAACGAAAGATAAGAATAAATTACCTTAATAATTTCGGTGCAGATTGGTGTTGTCTAATGCAGATTCCATTAATGAGGAATGGACGACGGTCCGTAAACATTGTTGTCACAAACAAGGGAGTGCGGTCGCGAATTGGTATGGTACATAATTGATAGGCTGTACTGCGGCCGAGCGACAGGTCTAATTTACGCGGACCACCGCCGGTCTCAGCGGACATGGGATTGGAAATTTATTGCGATCCATTGCTGTTAATACAATACCTTGAGTAGGTCAAGGCGGTATTAAATTGAACACGATTGGGAGTTGTGCAGTTCTAAGTAATAATATTATAATTATAATAATCCAGGACAATTTACACAGCACCATCTAATTCTAAGCTAAGCAGAGCTTGTGTTCTGGGTACTGGTATGTAATATTATATTATCTGTGGTACTAGACAACTGATCGACATATTTCATTACATTTTTTTGTAAACACATATATATTCTACTTAGAAAACACTTAGTATTGAACTGAGTGTTTACAAACAGCATGCAAATATTTCTCCAAGGAATCGAATATTTCCTATGGTCTCCATCAGCAGTAAGGCGGTATGGTACACCCCTAAACCACCGAAGCCGTTGTACATATTTCAGGGGAATTCGACTCTTCATATAAAAGTAATTTACTAAAGGGACTGCAATATTTATTTTTTCTAGGTTTATTGGAAGCTTTAAATGAGGTTTACTATTTGGTTTCTCAGTACAGTATTCTAATGTTAAAAGTACAAGAACTTACAATAATACCTGTAGCTATTATGAAAAGAAACAATAGTAATAGTAGATTCTGCACTAGCGCACCGCAATGTGTGCAACATTAACAGTTTTCTCAGATATGATATGAATTACATGAATATAATAAACCAAATAACGCTATCTCAAATACCTTAGATGAAGTAAGTAACATAAGTGTAGATCTTTCCAGAACATTCCGTGCCGCGGCAACTTGGGCTCTTCGTCGTTCGTCACGTAGGTCGGCGCGGCGCTCGGCAGTCAGTCTCGCTAGCTCCACCATCCCTCCGCCAAACTCTGTGAACGCCCGCACGAACTCCGCGAAGTTTGACACGGACTCCAGGCGATCCAGCGATCGAGCCACCTGCTCCATGTAACAAGGCAATGTTTCAATCCACTATACCGATATTATATTACACAATTTAGTAAGGTAGCATTATATTTCGTAAATAAGTTATACTGACTTTGAAAAATATATGAACATTTCATAAACTTATCAGATGATAGGATTTAATATTACTTTTATCATGAACATATAGTTAAATGTTTTTAAATTAACAAGAATAACGGATAGTTTTAATTTCTAAAATTCTATTTACTTATTTTCTATTAAGTACATATTATTGCCTAATTATCTTTTTAAATAGCTAGATATAGATATTTGAAACGAAGTATTTAACTACCTTTCAGATAAGATAGGAATAAAGGTACAAAAACTTGCCAACGATTCGTATAACTAGTTTAAAATTCGTTAAAGAGTTATATTTCTAGATATATTTCTATTTCCTTTTATTCCTTAGTTAAGGAATGGAAACTCATACAGAGAAGCTAAATTGTAAAAGGCATTAGAAAACGTTTTATACCGTCAATTATTATTAGTAAGTGAATAATGTAACGAATAACTTAGATAGGACCCAAGTACCCGAGAATTTCCTTTATAATTAAGGAGTTTCAAAAGCAATTAATCCTTAACGCCACTACAGATGGTTGCTTGTTTCGGCTCAGCAAGGCCCTGTGTATTGATTAGTATGATTTATGATAGGCTTGTGCCCAAGAGCCCTTTGACTCGAGTAACTCCTCAGTTTTTGCTAGGTAACTGTTTACATGTGTATCTATTATTGTAAAGGTAACGTTTTGTAGCAACGTAAATGTATTTTCACCAAATATATGCGGTACGGTTTTCGTACATAAATAAATCATGTTTTTGTGTATGTGAGTAGGGTAATATTCAAATGGTTTCCGTTGTTTTTTCCTTAACATTCCATATATGATAAATGGGATACACCACTATATTATGAAGTTTGGACTATGTGTGATGCGATGTGTTGTATTGAGGTATAATCAGTTACTAACGTTGCGGGATGTTGTCGGCGTAGACGTTGTATATTACACATGATTAAAATATCCATCTTATATACGAAATAACAATACTAAAATATAAGGTGGGGTGACACAGTTTGTGCAGTGCTTCGTAGATAATATTTAGTTTGTCTTACTAGCCTTAATTAATTGCAAGTGTTACATTAAAGTATCTACGTAACTGTGTGTCCCATAGATCACAAAAATCGACAAGTACCAATTTCAGGAAATCTCTATCGATTATAGCTGCAAATATTGAAATTCGCTCCGTTGTAGCAAAGATATTACGTAAGGTAAATACGATTAAATTGAGACCCTCCTCTATTAATTCAGCAGTTTGAAAGATATACATGGCAAGGATAAATGTATTACATGGCTCTTTTGTTGAAGGTAAAAATAATTCTTATGCATCGCATCTATTTGTACGATCTACATCCGCGCTAGGGCGGGATTTATTAAGATCTCCACTTATTCACACTCCATAGATTTCCTTCTCTTTGGTAATTCAGAAGAATTGATTTTTCAGTCCACAATTGATCCAACTTGACTTCCGTTTGAAATACCTTGTCTTTGGCAAGCAGTAGTTGCCGTACGACGACCATATCGGCCAGGAGTAGGACTCTGGTGACAGCGGCGAGGAGCGCACGCGCCGCCGATACCATGCCAGCTCCGTCCGCGCCCGTGCACACTCGTTCGATGGCGCGACCTACGATAAATATACATATTATAAAGTTACTAAAAGCAATAATAAATGGTCAAATTAATGATTTTCGTAGAAAATATAATTAACTAAACCCCAATTTTAAGATTGTTTGGAATGGATTGTGATATTAAAATTAGAAACAAAGTATCACACGATCTTAATTTAAACACGTTTGGTCATGTGATGCCATATTATATCTAAAAGCAATGAACGTTATTGAAATTTTAGAGAACCTAATAAATATCTACTTGACCAATTTTACATGAGTAACATTTTCAATTATGAACTTTCAGATAATTTATTGCGTATCTTGGCAACAAAGCTAACATGCGACATAGTAGCATTTATCAATATATTATTACTCGTGATCGAGATTTATTTTTGAATACTAGGTACATAATGGTTTCATATTATGTATAATATTCTCTTATCTGTCTCTCGTAATATCAGATTATATCTTAACAACAATTAAGAAGTAAATATAATTCTTATTAGCCTTATTCTTGCTTTTAGCAATAAGGCCGCCTTATTGTAACGATACATGTGTCTTTTGTTATATTGTTTGTGCTTCTTCTTTACTGTACGTTGCAAATAAAGTATATTCTATCTATCTATCTATCTTATATTTTTCATTGATTGTATTTAATTTCGATTTCGACATTAACTGGATGAGTCTAATATTTTTTATTATCTCATATATAAAAAAAAAACATAAGTGTAGCTAACTTATAAAACATTATTTCTTTTTGGTGTACCTATTCATACTTGAACATTCTCAAGGCAAAACCTTATGAAAAAGACATTGCCTTTTGAAACATTCATTGCGCTTTAACATTTTTCAATAGAGCTTCATTTTGATGCAGAACTCTCGGTCTATAGCTCTTTAGTATTCGTCTTTATTCAGCTCGTCCCGACTTTACTCGGTTTGAACATTTGAACAATGTAAATACATACTTAATGCATAGCCTATGTTTGCATGAAATATGTATATATGAAATGGTGAAAGAATATCCAAATGCGGCTGCATTTGGATATTCTTTCACCATTTCTTTAATTCTGGAGATTACCCTTTGAATATAATCAAATTTACGAGATTGTACTCTGCTTTTATAATATTGGTTATTAGGTCCTTGAATAGAAGTTATGTGATGATATAAGACATGATATAAGACAATGTTTGCATATTGTCCATTGTGTTGATATTATATCTAGAGATTACAGGTACTCCTGATCAGGAATTCTGAAAAGTATGGTGTGTTCTAAAATTCAGTAATACAGGTGGTAATATTGTTATTATATTGTACTCAAAATTCAAACAACAAGAATAGCTGTATAAAAACTGCAGTATATCGTATTAAATGTTTGCCACAATATAAATTGCCTTCAACAAAAATATTTGAAAATATCTGAGCTCGCGACTTCGTTACTACATAACATTTTTATTTTTGCTGTTATTTGTACTGCATGTTTTATTATAATCTGTTGCATTGTTCATGCAACAAATTGCATGTTGGATTGGTATAAAACAAACATGCAATTTTAAGTAAAGCTAACCACAATACATTAGGGAAAACAATAGCCAAATTGGTAAACCCAAAAATCCTGACAATATTCTTTTGGGTTGTACTACTGTACACTTTTTCTCAAATATCTGTCACATACGGACAGTGATCAGTTACATTTTTATTATATGTATAGATATAGCTGTTCAAATATTGGAAATCGATATCCATATATTAATGTCAGACATCGTTGAAAAACTGGATATAGAAGTGGAACCATTTGCAAATCTCTTAAAACCGATCACAGATGATTGGGGCGGCTAAATGAGATTAATAAACGAGCTCAAAATGTGGCGCGGCGTGGGCCACGCTTGTGTTACCCAGTCGTTTATATTTCCCCGACACTTTAAGCCACCAATTAGTTAGATACGTGCCTAACAAATCGGTTTGCTTTATTATACAAATTTAAAACGGTAAATTATTGTTTTATTCATGCAACATACAGGTACCTTTCTAAATTTCATTAAGTTCTTAATAATTTTTAATCATCTTTACAAAAAATACTAATACTTTGTAACTACGAACCATCATGCTCACTTTAGCTTTTAAACAAAAAAAAATATAATTGTAATGAGTTAAAAGTACATTTACATAACTGAGCTGTTGTACGATATATTTCTAATTTTAATATTATAAATAAAGAGGTAAGATATGGTTGTGATCACAGAGCTGAAATCCATATAAAAGTGTTTCTTTATACATAACATTACCTACTCGTATCTATACCTATTAGAAATAAGACGTATTTTAGGCGCACTACGTAGATACTGTGAACAAATATGGGTTAAAAATGTATACAATTATACATACTGTAGTTTGAGAGCTCATCAACTTTGAACTAATTTTTTTAATACCAGAGTGTCGTGGGTTAACACAAAAGGAATATAGCAAGTATGGCTTCGTGTGGCCGCCAACCAGTAGGACAATTATTATGCTAAATCCTTCAGGATAAAGAGGCCCATCTCCAGTAGTGGTGTTATAATGAGATTATTATGTAATATCTTTGTTTGTTTTACATTATAATACAATAAAAATTGAAAGCAAACAAAATTACGACGAGGAGAAAATTTTATGTTTGTGTGTTAAGGTTTTCCGTAAAAATGTCTGGATTAATTAGGACGTTTTTTATCGGTTTAATGTTTCATATAGTTCATCAAATAAGCTAAAGAAATCCTAAAACAGTATGCTCGAAAAGTAATTTGGCCATTTTTACTTTTTAAATTTAAAAACGCTATTGATAACTATTTAAAAATGTTTATTATATTTTATTGTTTTATTCTCCTCACAGATGGCATCTAATGCACTAGTTAAGAAATAAATGAGTACTAATATATGTACATATATTAACCGAGATATATAAATACCAGAAATACCAGAATAATTAATATATATGAAAAGATATAGTAGTACTTAATTCTTGAACTTCGTCTAAGGTTGGTACCAACGCGATTAAGAGGAGAGGACTGAACTTGGCATGACGTCCAGCAGTTATAATTAAGATTTCCAGCAATTGCGACGTTCTCGTTGTATTTGACGTATCTCGAAAGTTCCAAGTTTATTAGAGTAAAATTTTAAAGTTTCCAGAATTAAATGAACTACTAATAATAATTATTGTCATATAAGGATTATTTAAACACTATTGATTAGTAATTAAGTGAGTTTTGTGAGTTAATAATGTCAGCAGTATAGCATAATAATAACGGCGTATTTAGATTTTTTTTCTATATATGTAAAATTGAGTTTGTAATATAAAAATCAAGCTGATAATGCACAAACTAAATCTTTTATTCTATAAAGAGTTAAAAAGATTAGATTAGTAGCCTATGTAGATTAAAACACATTTTTATAAATTCTCGAATACCTAGGATTTTATCATTTCACTTTGGAAGGAAGTCAATGAGAAATGTTATCTGTTTGTATCTAATAACATATTCAATAACCATAATTTTTATTTAGAGCTTCTTAGATTGGGCTACGATCTATAATAAACTATACCATCAGTGTTAACTTAATTAAATACATAAAAATATAATTTACTAAGCTTTCAGTATACTCCTATATTTTATATATTCTTTTTACTAACCAAAGTTGTGTTTTATTGTGAATGGTGAATTTAATAAATAAACTTTTCTGTCAATACAATATTTATAGCATAAAATGAAATTTAATTTCCAAAATAGATTAGTTTTGTAACCCATTATCATTGCGAAGTCGACTGTACCTACTTACGGTGCATGCCTCATCTATTTATCAGTATTCTCTTCAGAGACAACTAAATGCTAAATACTTCCATTTGAGCAGATATTTCAATCCCAACTATTCTACTTAGTTCGTCAATAAAATACAAATGAGCAAATAGATCTCTTAGAGCTTAGTTCATTAGATATTTAAATAAGGTAAAACATTCAAATTCTGTGGTATCTGGCTTCCAGTATCATTCTTATTATATATGTCAAGTTGAGTATGATTCTAAATGATTTAACGACCTTAAAGTACATATTTTAACATAATTAAGTTTTAGTACAGCTTTAGTTCATATACTCCCTTTGGGCCTGTTATTGTTTTGCTTTACATTTAATAGCAGCTAACTTCGTACCTATAGGCAAAACTTTGATTACGAGTTAAGTGGTGTATAAGTAGTAAGTTGGGTCGCTAAAATTATAATTAATAGGTTGATATGATTACCGTATTATGATCAACATGTCGAAATATTTAACATATCCCTCAAATTAACCTATGCTATGAGATTAGACAGCTTATTTTTCTTGAGTATGCCACCATCGCTTGGCCAACGAGGCAAAGGTAGGCTAAATGCATCTTTTTTATATATAAAAAAAAGATGAATGGCTAGCAGTAGTGCAAAGTTTTGTCTTGACGATGATGATGGAGTTGAAATTAAATAATTATACACTATACAGCAATACTAGGAAGGTAAGATTTAAAAATTAAGAATTGTGAAAGTATTTAGAAGTGTCCATAAATATGAATATAAATGCTAACATGTGTATAAACATTTTTAAATTCGTCAATTAAAATATAAGCTGAAAGCCACATAGGTCGCTGCGAGATTTTTCGCGTGTCACCGCAAACCACATTGGCACGCAACTGTTCCAAACATGGTGTGAGGTAGGTAATTGCGTGTACAACTGTATACAGAAAATTAATAAATACTTGATTAGGTGGTATCACGGTCAGACTAGTATATTCAATGCAATTTTGAAAATTAGGTTCATCATTTTTAGGCTTCTAAACCAAATAAATATGAAAATGAATCACTACTTTATCAAGACAACAAATATTAATGAATTTTAATAATAGATTTTATCACCAGGATCAGTATAATAAGTAATATAAAAAATAGACTAATATATTTAAATGCAAAACTTTCAATATAAACAATGTTGCATATCCAGTTCTCTGTTACACGGGTCGCGAGAAATT